CAAATAATAGGACTTATTGAAATATAAGAATATATTATGGATTAATGGGATATAAGTTCTTGAAAAAAGATTTCTTAATAAATTCTCTTTATTTATTGATTTTTATTATTATTTATTATTATTATTATTTGGATAGGGAATTGGTATCCAAGTTTGTCTGGGATTGTATAGTAATTTTTTGGATAAATATTACAAATATACCTTTTAAGATTTGCTTAAAATACGAATTGTTTTTTGTGATTTAAAAAATTACAAAATATTTATTTGCCAGAAATTTTTTATTTAACAAAATTAAAAAAATAAAATTTCTAATTCTTCTCTTATACAATTATAAAATTATTTGAATTATTAATTAAAATATATTTTAATATCATTAAAAATTGTTAATTGATTTGAAAATTTATTAATAGGATGATATTATTTGTTATGAAATTATAAATTTCAAGGGATGTGATATAATTTCTTGAATTATAGATGAGTGATTGAGTAATTTTAAATAAATTTTAAAAGATATATTTATAATTTATTCTAAATTTTTTTAGTTGAATTTATTTTTTTTATTTTTAAACTTCTAATTTGATAAGACCTAAAAGTAATAATTTTAATATTCTTAAAAAAACCACACCACACCACAAAACAATACTACTTGAGTCTCTATTTGGGAAGTGGATGGTTTTTTAATTTTTTGATTTTTTTAATTATTTTAGTTTGAATTTAAAGCTTAGTTGAGAAGGATTTTTTGACTTTTAATTTTTTTAATTTTTTTATAAAAAAATATAATAATTATGAATTAAATATAATATTTTATTTATTTGATTAAATAATAATTTATTTTATTTTTTATGACTATTTTAACATCAAAATCACTTGCCACCTGAAAAAGAAATCGGCAAAGCCGATGCATTGCCATTTTTGCGATGTATGGTAGGGAGGTTCAATACTGATTTGACGGGGATTCAAAGAGTGGGTCTGAGCTTTCTTTAGGTCAAATCAAAAGGTGGGTAGGTTTCTTGTGATAAATTAAATTATTTATATAAGGAATTAAGGCCAAGTTTAACATTCTCAAAAAAAATTTAAAAAGTCAAAAAGTCACTATTCTATTAAGTCACATCATCACATCACCTCTCTAACACATCACTTTAAACCCAACCCAAATCCAATTCATATTTCATAAAAAAGTCAAAAAGTACACTTAATTTAGTCTTTCCAAACTTTGCTTAAATTATTTTTTTAGGAATGCTGGTGGTGAATGAATCACCCGCTGAGTTTGAGGAGCTATCTGTTGGACAGATCTGTTAGGAATTCCAAGGGAAAAGGGCCTAAGCTTCCCTCTGCATTTTTTCTTTCTTTCCGATGTAACAAAAAAATATATATATAAAAAATTAAATTGATTTGATAAATATAATTTGTTTAATTAATTGTTTTTTTTAACGATAACATTAATAAATTGAACAATTATTATTATCGATTGATTATTTTTTTTTAATAATAATATATATATAAGTTTTACAAAATAAATAATTTGAATTATCGACATGAGATTTGCGGTAGATAACAAAGAACGTGAACGACGGATTCAAAGTAGGGTGTTGTGCCTTGTGGGCACAAACATGCATGTTTGTGAGACCCCTTTTGGAGTGTGTGTTTTGAGTCTATTTTCATAAATTAAACAAATTCATATTGTTAAATGTAAACTTTATTCTCCCTCCGCTTACTCCACTACACCACTTCATCTACTCTACTCTACCTACTCTACCACACCTACTCTCCACACACATCTCCTATAAAGGAGACCAACATGTACATCAATAATATCAATCAATATACATACAATTATTTTCTCTTTCTCTATACATTGACTTTAACATGGTATTAGAGCAGGTTTAGAACCTAGTATTTTTCGCTTACACCGGCGGACAGCAACTCGCCTTAGCCGCCCGTCGGACCTCAACTTATTCCACTGTCACTCTATCAATACACTATAGCTTCGAGTTTCTTCGCCGCCACTGGAGGTGACTTCTCCACATACGCACTGGCTTTTCGTTATCTTTCCAAATACAGATCCCTAAACGATATGGCCAAAATGGCGAAGATTTCCACTGTTTCTTTAGCAAATCTTTGCTACTTAGACCAAGGGTAATGCATCTAGTGTCATCATATATTATGCAATCATCAACCAACTTTATAAGGACAGCCCTGTGCATCAGCCATTGCAGAAGAACATTGTGTGCAGGCGATCTGCCTCAGCAGTTTTTACTTGCCGTATTGTTGTCTCATGCAAGCTTGCTCAAATGACTTAGCTTGGTACCCTTATACCAAATCAGCAAACCCCAAACTCCAAATGTCTGAAAATAGAGTTAACTCATAGAAGAATCATCAAGGTGTCATGGTAAAAGCCCCTGCAGCAACTACAGTTGAATTTGCCCCTGCCAAATCAACTCAAATGGCTCATACACTTTTCCAACCTCCCCTTCGTGGATATCTTACGCTGTAGATCAGTCTGCAAGTTCTTCAATCCAACCTCACCTCACCTTCCTTCACCTCACCTCTTCCACCCAAGCCCCTCCCATCCGCCTTTCTCTTGAAGAATGTTGGGGAGGACGTGGCGGCTATGAGGAGAGCCTTTCAACAAGCTTGGGCGACCCCATGGGAATTGAGCTACCTACAACAATTTTCAAATTATCCTTTGCATCGTACCAGTCTGCAAACCCATGTTACTCACTATTTATATTTATTTATTTTTTTATTCTATTACTCTACACCGTTTTTCAATGCGCTGTGTACTCTCCATCGCAAACCTCCCACTTTCAGATTTTATTTTATTATTATCAACCTTAGTAGGTGAGCCCTTTCAAGATTCCATGTACCGCCAATATACCACACTATCCTCAACTTTATTTTATTATATATATATATATTTATTATAATATATTATCCCAACACACCAGGCCTCAGAAACCACCTCTGATTTTTACTTTCTTTTATTATATATATATATATATATTTATTTATTATAATATATTATCCCAAAACACCATGCCTCAGAAACCACCTATGATTTTTCCAATCTTTATTTTATTTCATTCTACACACAAAAAAAAAAAAAAACCAACAACAATAGCAACAATACCACCACCAACCCACAACCACAACAAACACCGGCCTTACTTTTTCGCCTCTTCTGCTGTTCTCTTCTTCTTGCCTTGGTCCTGGACGTCCCTTGACAGCCCAGCCTCCGTGCTTCTTAGACCACCAAGCAAGTTGCCTCCCTATTACTCCTCAATCGCAGCATATGGTCTCCAAATTGGAATATAATGGTGGCCTTCCGTTTCAGTTCCTTATTTTCCGCCTT